CAAAAAAATAAATAAATAAATAAAATCCTGAAAAAAAAAAAAAAGAATGAAAACAAGTCCAATGAAAAAGTATCCTGTGGCCCAAGTCAGGCCACATGCCCAGGTTTCAGGCTTGATACGTAGTAAGGGGCATGCAGGAGGCAGCTAATTGATGTTTTACTCTCTCGTCAAAGTTTCTCTCTCTCTCTCTCCCTCTCCTTTCCTATCTAAAAATCAATTAAATGAGATCTAAAAGATATGTAGGAACTAAGAAATCAAAGAATGAAAAGAAAAGCATTCCAGACAGAGGCCAAAGTAACCAGGAATATTCAAGGAACTGAAAGAAAACAAGGCCAGAACATAGGAAAAAAAAAAGATTTTTGTACAAGATAATATCAGAGAAGTAGGCAACGGCCAAATCCATGCAGAGCTCTGTAACAATGATAAGAAATATGAATGTACTTTTAAGTGGAAAAGACATTAAAGGATCTTGAGCATGGACATGACCCGATACAAATAAATTTTAAGATTATACTTGTTACCATATAGAGAATGGAACAGAGGAGAGGCATAGGGAAATTAGTTATGACTCTGGTGCAGTATTCTAGGGAAAAGATAATACAAATTGGTTGGTTTCAAGTGGTGACAATGGAGATAGAAAGTAGACTGATTTAAAATAACTTGTTGATTGATGTGTTTGGGTAGGAGAATGGGGTGAGAAAAAGAATAATCCCAATGACCGAAGTCTAAGCAATTGGATAGTTAATGTGATTTACTAAAAGACTGATGGGCTAGGTGTGAGATGGAAAATGATAACTCCATTTTGGACAAGTATATTTTAATATATCTATGAGATTCCCAAGTAGAAAAATTACAAAATCTGGAACTCCAAAAAGTTTAGAGATCAAATATGTAAATTTCTGATTATTCATTTTTGTCCTACCTGTAGAAAAGGCAGTAACAGTTACCTTTCTTCATTCTCTATCTTAAAGGGAAAATAAATAAATAAATAAATAAATAAATAAAAAAAAAAATGCTCTAAATGGTAACTGAAAAAGAAAATAACTTCCTCTCTGACGGAAAATAAATAAATAAATAAATAAATTAAATAAAATAAATAAATAAATAAATAAATGCTCTAAATGGTAACTGAAAAAGAAAATAACACTGGTTACTGCCCAGGAGGGTAACTGGGTAGCTAAAGATGTACCTAGATAATTACTCTGTTTTCTTAACCCATCCCAGAACATCTAGATGTAAAGTTAAAAGTATAAGTATCTACTTAAGTTACAAATGAAACTTCTCATTTCAAATCCAAATCAATCACATTTCCAAAATATTCATGAACTAGAAATGACTGAGTTCAATAATCTAATCTCTCTCAATTTACAGTTAAGAACATAATCAGAAATACATACTACAATTAAGGAAGCCAAATATCATGCTGTGATTCAATATTTTAAATGCGAATGATCATCAACATCATCATCTTCACCTAGCCAACCAACACCGCATTTACTCTTCTGACCAAGTATATCATGAAATAAGGGCTCAAATGTTCTAGTCACCTTCATTTATTATCCCCTCAGTTTTAAGTCCTCTGTCTGCTGCTTAAGCTAGTTACACAAAGAAAATCAAAACTTAAAATAATCTTCTCTGTGAAGTTTTCACAATGAATTTTTAAATCTGAAATTGGATTCCTTGGTTCTAACTCGGTAAACAAAATTGAACTGTTTTATCAAATGAGTAAAACACTCCAGTAACATTAAGACTATTATAGTATGAAAGTATACAAATTATTAACCAAATGGCTAGCATTTCTGGATAAATCACCTATTATATGTGCCCAATACAATGCTATATACTTTATATATCTTATCTTATTTAATTTGCTCCATACCCTGTAAGACAAATATTATTTCACAGGTAAGAAAAATAAAGCTAATAACAGTTAAGTAATTTTCTAAAATTATGTATCTAGAAATTGTGGGAGTCATGATTCTAAGATCCTTATTCCTTTTACTACACTAACAGTTTTAAAACATTTTGGTCGCCAGACCCTTTTTTTTCTAGATCCTTTTATACTCAAGAATTACTGAAGATGCCAAAAATCTTTTAGAAATATAAATCTATCAATTTTTACCATATTAGAAATTAAAATTTAATGTTTTTACATTTTTATTTAATTTTAAAAGGCCAATAAACCCATTATGTTTATATAAATTTTCTGAAAAAGTAATCACATTTTTCAAAACAAACAAAAAAATGAACGAATAGATCTTTTACTGATACATGATTTTTTTTAAATTTTTTTATTTTTAAATATATTTTATTGATTTTTTTACAGAGAGGAAGGGAGAGCAACGCTCTATCCACTGAGCCAAACAGGTTAGGGATGATACATGATTTTTGATCATCTGAAAATTATTGGTTGACCAAGTTACACAGATCTTCTAAATGTTCTCATTTTATTATACAAAATAAAAAAAATTCACATTTGGTAATATCACCAATCTGACTAGTACAGTCTTTAAATATCGGGAAACTATCAAACTTTTTCCAAATACTAATTTTCATTTCAAAGTTTGATGTTTTTTTCCCACTGGCAATACTATCAATTGTTTTCCTTGAAGTCACAGGCTCACTTCATTCAATTTTCAGAAAATGTGTGCCAAATATCCAAATTGGAATAACCATAGTTTGTCTGTAAATTGGCTTTTTTTTCCAAGTAAAAATGGGGTGCCATGACAAAAGCTAGTGGCTTACAACTCAAAAAACTGCAGAACTGTTTTCTCTTATTTTCTCTTCAGTATGCAGAGCATCATGCATAATTCATATTATGTCAAAAAATATAAAAAAGATATGTACTTGAGATTAAGACAATAAAATTAATCATTTCTACAACTTCATCAAAGACATTAAGAAAAATGGCTTTTAAAATTAAAACTGCAAGGACATGGCAGTGAATAATATAATGTCTACTGGCAGTTTGGTGCTTTGATTCATGTTAAGGTTCCAAAAATTTTATTCACCACTGCTTTTGTACCA